GGTTGTTCCCCACTCCAGCTCCTGCGTCCACCTCCTTTAATCCCACCTGCGCTCTGTTCTGCAGAAGCAGGGTAGGTCACACACTTCACAGAGAAATACTTGAAGCTGGTGGACAATGACTTGCCCATGATCACACTGGCTGGAAGAGAAGAAACCCCACCAATCCACATCTACAGGCTTCTCGGGTGGCGATAGGGGGTTGGCTACAGATGTCAAGAAGCTCAAGGCGGGGAGAGGTGAGTCTGAGCAGAAGGGCTGCTTGGGATCACACCGGTTCTCTTCACCAGGTTCAGGCTCTGCCCCTCCTGAAGCTTCCCCAGCCGTTTGGAGGCTGTTTCTGTGGAGACAGTAAACAAGCCTGAGAGTTCCTGGATGATCAAGAGTGACATCACAATGCATGTACGTTGAGAAATCAAGGCCAGCTTGGGACAGGGAAACCTGGAGCTTTGGGGGAAGTCAACAAAGACCAGGCAGCAGCAACCGGGGGAACGGGAACCAGGTCTAAGGAAGGAGAAGTGCAGAGGAAGTTGAAATATCCTGATGGCCCCAAGCTACACATCTGGGGAAAGCATGAGGAGCAGGAGGGCCTTATCGGAAGCAGGACCTCCTATCACAATATCCCGGAAAGAAGCAGGCAGTCTTCCGACGTCGGCCAGATGAGCAGGAGTACCCGTGTGAGGAGCCTGGCCACGGGAACCCGAGCATTGCAGGGAGACAGAAGGAGTCTGTTTAATTGTTGAATATCTGCTTTTAAATCAAATTATATATTCACACAGTTTAGAGGGCTGCATCAGTCTCAAATTCTTTAAGAAAGTAGCACCTTTATGCTCCTAATCCCATTTCCTTCTCCCACCAGAAATCATCTCCACAGTTCACCACCTCTGCTGTGTACGTTTCAGCAACCTTGTCTCTCCATCTCCTGCTTGAGCACTGGGCTCTCTACATTTTCTCTTCTTTGTGAGGCGATGGCTTCGTTAAGGTTATTATTAATTTGATACCAAGTTTCGATCATAATTTTCATTCATTTTGACACATTGTTTCCTTCTGATGGTTTTAGGTAAACATTTTTCCCTTTTATTCTTTGTGTAGTTTCTTTGTATATATCATGTGCTGCTTCCTTTTTATTAGGTGAGTTCTCTTGAAACAGCTTCTTTTCTGATGTTATTATATTTTTCCTATTAAAACAATGAAATATCTGACACAGTAAAGCTGTGCGATGTGAACCACTAGTTATTCTATTATGGCTACTTACACTGAATTTAAACTATTTAGTTCCTCATTTGCACCTGCCGCATTTCAAGGTAACATATTAGTTATAAGTAATATATAGAGATTAATAGTAAAATTAAATTTATTTGTTAACTCATGCTTGAACAACATCTGTACCATTGATGATTTTGTGTGACTCCCTCCTTATATCCACTTCTTTCTTAGACATAATCACTGTTCTTAATTTTGTAACTATCAATTTCTTGCTATTCTTTAGATGCTTATCACATTAAAGTCACCAGCAAATATACTGAATTGTTTTGTATGCCTTCAACACACATAAATGGTTATGATTTATGCCTTCTGCATCTTGATTTTATTGATTAAAATTAAATTTGTGAGATTCTTATATCTGAGAGAAAGCGTCCACCAATGATGTTTCATAAACAATAGAAAATAACCTACAGTCTGTAGGCTAGATTTTGAGGTAAGTTTGATTTTTGTTTTTAACCCCAACTTTCAGAAGCATATCTCTGAGATTATTGGAAGTATGAATAATCTAGGGTTTAAAAACTGCCCTTCATTTCATAAGAAAGCACAGGTAAGACACTTACAAGAATAAAGCCCAGCAGGAAACACCAAAATAAGAAAAGGTATAGATTGATTGGGTCTAGGTTGAGGAAAGGTCATCCAGGTGGATGAGGAGGTTGTGGACGTCCTAGGTAGTGAGGTCACTGGGTGTTCGTGGGAAACCCCAGGGTGTGTCATACTGATGTGAACAAGAAGGCTACGTCTCAGCCCAGGATAGTAGAGGCTTTTTCCATCACAGGTGCATCTAATTCAGGGTGAGTTCTACAGCAGATATTTTACTGGACACTTTAGATAATTCCTTAGAAACAAGTGGAGGTGCACTCTCAGGCAAAGGCCCGAGTCTTTCCAGCAGAAAGAAAGAATACTTTCAGATTGTGATAATTTCATTCTCTGATTTTCAGTTCTTTTTCTGCCTGACAAAGACCCTCATTTATTTCATTCCTGCTTTCAGGTCAATTCCTTTGGTCTTTGTTTCCTGTTCAATGAGTCTTAGATTTTTCTAGAAGCTCAGTAGTCACCATTGGGACACTTTGCTTCCCAGAAGGGAAACAAAAGAATTAAACCCTTATTATTGTACCCACTTAGAACAAAATCAGGATGCATGAAGAGCCCTGTGACTAGAATTTAAGCGGCACACTATGGGAGATAGGGCATTAGAGAGGAGAGGCAATGCAACTCCTGGGCCCCACGCAGGACTCGGTCCTCCCCTCCCGGGGATGCCTTCCCCGGCCTTCCCGATCGTCCCTGCCAGCCGAGGGGCCCCTCAAGGGGGTCATGTGCAGAGTTCTAAAAAGATACTATACTGCAAACATGGCTTCTCCCCAGGATGTAAAATTAACAGATTTTCACTTTCCATTTTATAAATATACACAGTATAATACTCCTTAATAAACAATAATTTTATATTTTATACATTCAGAACTTTCAATTAGAGTAGGCAAATGTAGTGCATGTATTAAAGTTTTACATTTTATGAATAAATATTGATTTTATAGGAAGGAGAATGCTTTCAGGGGGGACCAGAAGCAGAGATCTCTCCTTGTCCATCTGCTTCAGAGCTGCCCAGTATCCCTCCCTCTTCCCCATCATGGTCCTGTGTGCTGTCTTTTGTCCCTCACAGAAGCTACTGAATCTCACAAAACTGACTTCAATACTTCAGGCTGCATGCATGTGAAGAGCAATAAGATAATTTTTATTTGCTTCTGGGTACCAGTGGATATCTACTTGAGTTGGCTTCACGGAGTCTGAAATAATGTCTAAATACTTCAGTGATCAGTTGCACTAAAGAAGTAAGTATACAGTTGACCTTTAAACAATGCAGCATTTAGGGGCACCTACCCCTTGAAGTCAAAAATCCACATTTAACCTTTGACTTCCCCAAAACCTAACTATTGATTGAAAGCCTTACCAATAACATAAATAGTTGACTGACACACATTTTGTATATGATTATATACTATAGTCTTACAATAAAGTAAGCTAGAGTCCAGGCACAGTAGCTCATGCCTGTAATCCCAGCACTTTGGAAGACTGAGGGGGAGGATCACGTGAGGCCAGGAGTTCAAGACCAACCTGAGCAACATAGCCAGACCCTGTCTCTACAAAAAAATAGAAAAATTAGCCGGGTTTGTGCTGAGCGCCTGTAGTCCCAGCTATTTGGAAGGCTGAGGAAGGAGGATCACTTGAGCCCAGGAGTTTGAGGTTGCTGTGAGCTAGGCTGACGCCACGGCACTCTAGCCCGGGCAACAGAGCGAGACCCTGTACCAAAAAAAAAAAAAAAAGAAAAAGAAAAAAAAAAGTATAAGGAGGAGAAAATATATTACTATTCATGAAGTGCAAGTGGATCATCATAAAGGTCTTCATCCTGGTAGCTGTCTTCACATCGAGTAGGCTGAGGAAGAGGAGGAAGAGGAGGGGTTGGTCTTGCTGTCTCAGCGGTGCCAGAGGCAGAAGAGGTGGCAGAGGGGGAAGGGGAGGCAGGAGAGACTGGCACCCTCGGTGTGCAAATGGACCCGCGCAGTTCAAACCTGTGTTATTCAAGGGTCAACTGTACATAAGACTCCCCCGCAATCGAGCTGCGGCCCCTTGAAGAAACAACGAGGCCGCTCAGTCGCCCTGGAGAGCTGAGCCTTCGTTTCCCAGCGCTCGTCCGGGTGCTGCTAGGCCTTTTCCTCGGCAGTGAGCTATTGGGGCGCCTTCCGGGGCAGCCCGTGCAGCCGTGGCAACTACATTACCCAGAAAGCCTTGCGTTGAGCGGCAGTGCATTAATCCAATGAAAACCCAGGATGTCGGCGCCTCTGCGCAGGCGTACCCCTTGGGGCGGGACTTCCTGCGTCTTCGCCGCGGTCGTTCTGGCTGCCTTCGGGCCAGTTCTCTCGGTCTGCAGCTCTGGTGCGCGGCATCGGGACCAAAGCGACGGCCGGAGAAGGCGCGAGAGGCGGATCTGAGGGGCGGCGGTGGCTGACGGCTGTGCCCGGGTCTCCGCCCCGGTCGCCCGCCGTTCCTGACTCCGAGCCGCCCGGGGACCGATGGCGGCGGCCGCGCTGAGGGACTCGGCTCCGGTAAGTGCCGCGTCCTCCAGGCTTCACCTGCCAGGTCCCCGACCCCACACACCCAAATTCTGCAGCCCCGGCGAGGGGCGCCTGCTCACTTCCCTGCAGCCCAGGCCCCTGAGTCCACGCCAGTGAGGCGCTCGCGGGTGCGGTCCCTATCTCTGACAGTGTGGTGGCGGGGTGGGAGAGTGTGGCAGGCAGAGGGACCCGCGCGTGCAAAGGCCCGGAGGTGCGACTCAGCCCAGAGCATTCGGGAAAACTAGGTTCCACGTTGTCGTTGTAGAGAGCAAAGTTTGAGACAGTTTCGCATCTACATTGGTAGGCTGAGGAGTGGGACCTTTATTCTTGGGGATATGGAAGCCCTGGAGAATTTTGAGAGAATGAAAGACACCACCTGAGTCCTCCGAAGGCTGTTCGTTGGAAGAGCAGACTATAGAGGGTGACGAGGATGCTGAGGCAGGATGTTGAGTATTTTTCCAAGGCCGCACAACTGGTAAGAGGCAGCGCTAAGGACTGAGGCACAGAGGTTAGACAGCAACCCGAAGCTGTGTGGTGCTGGGGCAGGACCAGGGGTACAGGAAAGGCTTGTGGCCGTGGAGCGCCGCCATGGCCACATCCCTCTAGGGTCTGCCTCTTTCCACAGGTTCCCATGGCTGCAGAAGTGCTTGTGGAACTCACACAGGTAAGTGCAGGGTATCCCAACCCCTCACTGGTCTGGAGCCCCACTCACATTTTCTCTGAATTTGTAATGTCATGGGACTCTTCACCTACCCTTCTCTCAGCCCTTAGGTCTGGGAACCCTGGAGGATCCGCAAGCTCAGGGTCCTGAGTCCAGGGCAGTAGTTATACGGATGTGTTTCCATTTGGGGCAGCCATTGGAAAGAGATGTGGAAGCTTATGATAGGAACAGGTCCCAACATTGGAACTGCTCGGAGGTGAGGCCGAGCTGGTTCAGAGAGCCGTAGGTCTCCTTTCTTTCTGGTGGTAACAAACTTCAGGCGGTGGGGAGGCAGGAGTCAGGCTTGGAATGACTGCCTGTGAAGCTTGGCATCTTCTTGTGGAGGAAGTGGGAGTTGGGCTCAGAGGAGGGAGGTTATCTTACCCAGGTGTTGCAGAGTGGAAAACAGAACGAACACAGTGACCAAAGGGAACATGAAGAGAGAAGAGGTGCCAGTGGCAGTGGGATCTAGTGTCTCCTCTGAGTTGGGGCGCTTGGGAGGAGGGGACATAGATTGTGAGTCTCCCAGAATGAGACTGTTCATGGTTTCATCAGTCCCTGTCATGCCAGGGCATCGTGACCTTTGAAGACGTGGCCGTGTACTTCTCCTGGGAGGAATGGGACCTCCTTGATGAGGCTCAGAAACACCTGTACTTCGATGTGATGCTGGAGAACTTTGCACTTACATCCTCTGTGGGTAAGGCCCTCACGCTCATTCTTGTGCCTTGGACTAGGTTCTGCATTTCCCCTTTTCCTCAGGAGCAGCTCTGTCCTCCTTATATCTGGACCATAGACTCTGCTTCCTTCCCCAGTTCCCTGAGTAGGTGCTGTGGGCTGGGTACATGCCTACTTCCCTCTCCTTATCACCCTTGCCCAAAAGACTCAAAGGTAAGGATTTGGGATCAGTAGGCCTACAGTAAGCCTAATAAATCCCACCTGGCTTGCCGTCTCCCTGTCTGGGGACTATCTAGCACCCAAGTTTCACTCCCTTTCTGTACCTGACATTTCTTTGTACCTGATGATGCCATGAAACATAGTCACTGACATTGTCACTGTTTACACAGACTGTTCTTATAAGAACCTCCTCCAAGTTTTTTGTAACTGTGGTAACATATACATAACATAAAATTTACCATTATAATCATTTTTAAGTATATAGTTCAGTGGCATTTAATTCATTCACATCATCGCGTAACCATCACCAGCATCCTTCCCTAGAACTTTTTTGTCTTGCAAAACTGAAAGTCTGTACCCATTAAACAATAACTCCTCCCATCCCCTGCCAACCATCATTCTACTTTTTGTCTTTATGAATTTGTCCACTCGTAAGTACCTCATATGAGTGGAATTATACAATATTGTTTCTTTTGTGTCTGGCTTATTTCACTTAGCGTAATATCTTCAAGGCTCATCCATGTTGTAGTGTATATCAGAATTTCCTTCCTTTTTAAAGCTGAATAATACTCTACTGTATGTATGTACCACCTTTTGTTTATCCATTTATCCTTCAGTGGACGCTTGGGTTGTTCCACCTTTTGGCTATTGTGGATAACGCTGCTGTGAACATGAGTGTATGAACATCTTTTTGTGTCCCTGCTTTCTATTCTTTTGGGTATATACTCAGAAGTAGAATTGCTGGATCATATGTTAATTCCATTGTTAAATTTTAAGGAACCAGCATACCATTTTCCATAGCAGCTGCATTCCCACCAGCAGTGCACAAAAGATCCAGTTTTGGCCGGGCGCGGTGGCTCACGCCTGTAATCCCAGCACTCTGGGAGGTCAAGGCGGGCAGATCGTTTGAGCTCAAGAGTTCGAGACCAGCCTGAGCAAGAGCGAGACCTCGTCTTTACTAAAAATAGAAAGAAATTAATCGGACAACTAAATCTATATAGAAAAAATTAGCCGGACATGGTGGCACATGCCTGTAGTCCCAGCTACCTGGGAGGCTGAGGCAGTAGGATCAGTTGAGCCCAGGAGTTTGAGGTTGCTGTGAGCTAGGCTGACGTCACGGCACTCACTCTAGCCAGGGCAACAGAGTGAGACTCTGTCTCAAAAAAAAAAAAAAAAAAGATCCAGTTTTTTCACATCCCCACCATCACTTGTTATTTTCCTTTTTTTTTTTTTTTACAATAGCCATCCAAGTGCATGTGAGGTGACATCTCATTATGGCTGTGATTGGCATTTTCCTAAGGACTAGTGAGATTGAACATCTATTCATGTGCTAATTAGCCATTTGTATGTCTTCTTTGGAGAAATGTTTATTTTTTTAATCAGGTTGTTTTTTTATTGTTGAGTTTTAAGGGTTCTCTATATGTTCTGGGTATTAATCCTTTATCAGATATGTGATTTGCAAGTGTTTTCTCCCATTCTGTGGGTTGCCTTTTTTTAGGGTGTTGGTAGTGGCCTTTGATATACAAGTTTCTCATTTTGATGAAAGTCCAATTTGTCTGTCTGTCTTTTACTGCCTGCGTGCCTTTGGTGTCATATGCAAGCAATCATTGAGAAGTCCAATGTCATTAAGATTTTCACCTGCTTTCTTCTAAGTTTTACTAGTTTTAGCTCATACATTCAGATCTTTGATCCATTTTCAGTCAGTTTTATATATGATGTCAACAAGGGTCTAACTAACTTTGTTCTTTCAGATACGGATATTCAGTTTTTCTGGAATCATGTGTTGAAAAGACTGTCTTTTCCCCATTGAATGGTCTTGGCCCCCTTGTCGAAAATCATTTGGCCAGATATTTGAAAGTTTATTTCTGGGCTTTCTATTCTAGTCCATTGGTCTCTATGGCAGTATCACACTGTTTTAATTACCATAGCTTTGCAGTAAGTTTTGAAATTAGTAAGTGTGAGTCTTCCAATTTTTGTCTTCTTTTTCAAGATTGTTTTAGCAATTTGGTATCCCTTGTATTTCATGTGAATGTTAGAATGGATTTTTCTAATTCTGCAAAAAGAATGTCATTGGGATTTTGATAGGTGTTGCATTTTCTGTAGATTACTTTGGCACATATAGACATCTTAATAATATTGAGTCCTCCAATTTATAAACATGCATACAATGTCTTTTCATTTATTAATGTCTTCTTTAATTTCTTTTAGCAATATTTTGCAGTTTTTAGTGTACAAGTCTTTTACTTCTTTGATTAAGTTAATCCTTAGTGTTTAATTCTTTTTGATGCAATTATAAATTGAATTGTTTTCTTACTTTCCTTTCCAGATTGTAGTAGTGTATAGAAATCTTACAACTGATTATTGCATTTTGTATTTGTAACCTTCTATTTGCTGAATTTGTTTATTAATTCTAAAAGTTTTTGGTGGAATCTTTAGGGCTTTCTACATGTATCATCTGCAACCAGAGATAATTTTACTTCTTTTGCCATTTGGATCCCTTTTATTTATTTTTGTTACCTAATTGCTGTGTGGAACAAAAGTGATGAAAGTAGGCATCCTTATCTTGTTCCTGAACTTAGAGGAAAAGCTTTCATGCTTTCACTGTTGAGTGTATTTTAGCTGTGGGTTTTTCATATATGGCTTTTATGTTTAGGTAGTTTCCCTCTATTCCTACCTTGCTGACTGTTTTCCTCATAAAAGCGTGTTGCATTTTGTCTCATGCGCTTTTTATGTGCATTGTTTGAGATGATTGTGTACTTTTTTTGCCCTTTTTGATTGACTTTTATTTGTTGAATCATCCTCCCATTCCAGGAATAAATTCTAGTTGGTCTTAGTATGCAATCCTTTTAATATGCTGCTGAATTCAGTTTGCTAATACTTTATTGATGGTTTTTGCATTTATAATTATCAAGGATATTGATCTATAGTTTTCTTGCAGTATCTTTGTCTCGTTTGGGAATCCAGGTAATGCCGGATAGAATGAGCTCGGAAGTATTCACTCTACAATTTTGGGGGAGAGTTTGAAAAAGATAGTGTTAGTTGTTAGTTAAATGTTTGGTAGAATTCACTGGTGAAGTTATTCAGGTCCAAGGCTCTTCTTTCTTTTTTGGTAGGTTTTTGATTACTGATTTAATCTCCTTAGTAGTTATGGCTTTATTGGGGTTTTCTATTTCTTTATGGTTCAGTCTCAGTAGATTTTGTGTACCTAGAAATTTGTCCATTTAATCTCTGTTATTTAATTTGTTGGCCTACAGTTGATTTAGAACTATCTCACAATCCTTTTTATTGCTGTAGAATTGGTAGCAATGTCCCCACTTTCATTTTTGATTTTAGTAATTTGAATCTTGTATTTTTTTTCTTAATCTAGGTAAAGGTTTTTCAATTTTGATAATCTTTTGAAAGAACCACCTTTTGGTCTTGTTGATTTTTCTCTATTGTTTTTCTTTTCCCTATTTTACTTATCTTGCCTCTAATCTTTATTATTTTCCTTTTTCTGCTTGCTTTGACTTTAGTCTTTTCTTCTTTTTGTAGTCCCTTAAGTTTTAAAGGTAGGTTGTTCAGCTGAGATCTTCTTTTGTTTCTTTTTTTTTTCTTGCCAATTTTTTTTTTACTTAGTCTGATATCAATTCCCAAGAGATCTTTCTTCTTTTTTAATATAAG